GATCAGGACATTTCGCCAAAATATGTATTTTAATTTTTATGGGAAAAAATCAAACTTTACCACGTCATGAAGTAAAATCGGAGGGGTGTGGTGAGTTCAGTAGTAGTGCTCTTAGGTGAGTTATGGTGAGATAGGTGAGCTGAGCTTCGGAGGGGTGTGGTGAGTTTGGGTGCGGTGAACTAAGGTGTAGCAAGTATGCTGTGGTGAGTATAGTTCTCTCTATACCTGGGTCTATCTGTATACATATACATATATACATATACTAGGAATGTTAATCCCGGAATCCCGGCCGTTTTAGGTCCCGAAAATCCCTGGATTTTTGGCAAATAATCCCGGAATTTTTGAGATTTGTAATTTGCACTAATGGCAATAATAGAAACTTCATTTTCTTGACCAGTATTAGCTATATTTCTTTTTTTATTTATTAAAACTATATTTTTTTATAAATGTCTCATAATGCGTATAAAACCGTGCGATAGTAAATGTTGCAGAAAAAAGTCAATACACTCGCGAAACCATGGGCTAAATATAGTAATATTGCTTTTTTAGTTTTTCACTCTGACGTTAGTAATCAAAAAATTATTTTAAAAGTTCAGTAAAATGTGCTCAGAGAAGAAGTATGGGTATCAAATTAAAGAGTGAATTCTGTAAAATTTAATTAGATTCAATTTTTTTTTTTGGTACACAAGGACTAGTAAGTATTGAAAATTTACTTTTAAAATTTTATCCTTGAAATCTCGCAATATTTGTTTTTTGAAAAATTATATGTTAAGGGCTTATATAAACTTGATAACATCCTCGAATTTCGTCCTTCTCACTTTATCAGCTTAAAAAATTGCCTATTCGTCCTTGTGAATCCAAAAAAAAAGTTTTCGTTTCTTAAATTCTAAAGAAATTTCCTTTTTCATTTGGTAACCATATTTTTACTCTACATTGCGTTGAATTTTTGAAATAATTTTAGGAATTATTCATATCTTTGAAATTATAAAGTCCTTTAAAATAAATCCTAACATCAGAGAGTAAAAATAAAAACGCCACTTTAAATAAAAAAGTAAGTTTCAAACCCATTTATTTATTATTTACTTTATGGTAGGAGAGATAGAAGGTGGGAGGGGAGGTTTTTTCGACTATGCGCGTATACATAGCACAGAACGATTACACGTGCAATTCTAAGCAAATTTTCCGAAGAAACTATGGTTCTAAAATCAATTTGGTGTTTGACAAATTGTGTGAAAATAGGTTTCGTAGCGTTTTGCTGTAGTGCCGTAAAGAAGTGCTCAAAATTTTGTATTCAAATATGCTGGAAGGGAATTTTTGGTTTAAGGAATCCATTACTGCACTTATCTATTTCTTAAAACGTTCACCAGAGGGCACAGCAGTGAAAATTTTAACATTTTTTTGGATACATATTTTCACAATTTGGTAAATTCAAATTTATTTTATTCCCAAGGTTTTATTTAATTATAAGGTACAAATAATCCAAATAGATAAGGTTGTAATCTATAAAAATCTAAATTCTCGCAACAACTTGAAACCTTAATCCCGCATTTGATTCGGATCTCTATAGAGGAATTGTTGCTGAAACTTAAAAGGCATACTATGTCAAGCTGTATGTACCTAGTCAGTCAATCAAGGTAGTAAAAAAGTAGCTGACGACGGAGAGCGGAAAAAGAAAGGGCAGCAAAAATATTCTGCCTTATCCTGAGTTTAGCTCGAAAAAAAATTCACCCGAAAATTTGTCATCCGCCCATAGTCAAACCATGGAAACCAAAGTGGAAAGTGAACCGATTCATGGAAAATGAAACTTATGATAAAGCTGATTCTATAAAATCGATAGCGTGAATTGGTTAAATTAATTAACTTTTTTATAAGTTCTTTTTATGGAAAGCTCACTTTTATTATTTATTTAATTCTTTATATCTCGCTAAATTACTGTAGGCATATGAACTCAGTGTGAAAAAGAGCACTAAACAAGAGCATTGCAAAATCTTATCATATTTGTAAACATATCTCGACAACAAAGCAAACCCACAAAATCCTACACTTTGCCTCACCGTTAGTCTTCTTCATATTTTTACATGTATGTACTACATTAGGGTGGTAAAAATTTAAAGATTTAAATAACGAGGAGACCCGTTTTTTTTATTTTGAAATCTTTTAACATTTCACATATAACCATATATGTAATACTCCTAAAGAGACAGTAACAGTTAGTACCGTCCGAAAGCATTACAGTGCAGATATATCAATAAACACGTACAAATACACGTACATATACGTTTATATATAAATAACCTGCAAACCAAAGTTCGCGAAATCTTAACAAAATATTTAGGAGTATCTCATTTCTGTAACGAATTTTTTACGGATCTTCAAAGAAAGTTATATGAAGTGGTAGACACGAAGTCGCAAAGAAATTTCTGTATGAAAAATAAAGAAAATTTTGAAAAAATCCTGCTGGAATTCTTCATATATGTAGCAGCATTATTTTCATTGTTTTATCGATTTTCTTTCGAAATTTCATAAAAAATCGAACTGTGCACAGTTTATTTAATTTCGAAAATTCGGCAAAAAATCGGACGAAATCTTTACGAATTTTTTAAAATTTCCCTTCAGTTCAGTATACTCTGAAAAAATGATTTGTGGGGGCATGTACAAATACTTCATACGGGGAAAATATATTTTTTTGTAAAATTTCTATATCGAAAGAGTTGAGCGGCACATTTCAAAAAACAATTATTTGTACAGTGATTCGGAAATGGTTTTCATACAAATTTTTTTTCCTTAATTTTTCACGAACATATAGTTTATATTCTATCAAACACCATTCAAATTAAATTTTTTAAACTTATTACAAGACTTAAAAACACTATCAAATTTTCATCAAAATTTATAATTTTTTATTCATAATTTGTAGAAAAATTATGATTATGATTGTTTCTCATTAAATTTTAGTATACAAATATGCAGGTATCAAGTCCCCAAAAATTGGCGTTGGTTTATAGATCTTTTTCAATGCTGTTGAGCGTTTTCTTCCATACAAAAATACATTTGGTCTATGCATTATATCGAAGAAAATTCGTAAATATGTTTGTTAGTTACGTTGAAAAAAAATGAAAAAAAAACTACTTTACGGCTCTGGCAAAGGCGAATTCAATAAAATTGAGTGCGAATATGTCGGCGTATTTTAAGAATAATATTTAAACTTCTCTTATTTTATAATGAAAGACTTTCTCTATAGAACTATTACTCGAACACTCACTTTTCTGACTTTAATTTACGGATTGTCTTTTGTAATTTGACAGCTGTTTTGCACTCAGAGTTGTAACAAACGAAAGGGAAGTTGTGAGTCGTTTGAATGACCGGTAAACCTTTATATATTGAGCGAAAACTTTCATTTCATATACATTCTTTATTAAAGTCGCATTAAATGCGGGCTATTCGAAAAAGTTAATTTTCCCATGTATTTTCGGACCATCCTAATGTGCATACATACATATATACATATAAGTTAGGTGGAAAAATTATCAGCTAAAAACACAGAGCAAACTGATAAGACGCTAAATGACTAGCCTAACTGAAACTACAACAAAAATAGACACCACTACAATAAAACCGAATTGCGCCATAATAAAAAACAGCAACAACTAAGTTAGAAAAACTGATTATAAATTTTCTGCGTAAGTATTTGTGTATGTAAATATGTATAAACCCTGCAGTGAATAGACAAATCAGTTAGAAAAAATACTAGTTCATTATTTAGTATGTGCCTCCCAGTTCGACAATTTCGAAAAACTTAAGCATTGAACGACATCTACCTTTGAATTGCCAAAGCCAAAAATAAAACGAAATTAATTGCTGGTCCTCAGTTCGCAGGTTCGAGGCCGCTTGGAGGTGGTTAAAATTTTTAAAGTTAAGTCAATGTAAGTAAAAATAACTATTTCAATTTAAATCAAATATAAATAACAAATTTGAAACTCTAATTGCATTGCAGAGAAAACATGCATATGGGAAGAAATGCTTGAGCCATAAAAAAAAATTTATAAAATTAAAAAAAAAAAATTAACGAAATTGAAAATTTACAACAAAAACCCTAAATAAAAATAAATAAATAGTTAAAAAAAATAAAATAAAAAAATTTCCCTGCGTCAGGACTTGAATTTGGGACCTCAGGCATACCTAACGAGCGCTTTGCTCTGGCGACCATTGCGACTGTTGGAGAGCCGCGAGCAAAAAGGCATACTTATGCTCTTCACGGGAAATGACTTGACAGACTACCTCATCTACGGTTGCCAGACGTACTGATTTTATCAGTACAGTACTGATTTTTCAACTCTTGTACTGATTTTATTCATTTCTTCAATCAGTACGCTAATTTTTTTTTCAAAATTTGTACTGATTTGTACTGAATTTTTTATTCAAACAAAATACTTTAGTATTTTCATAAGGTTTTTACATAACGTTGGAACTTTCTTAAACGGTACTGTAAAAAATAAGAAGAAATAATTTTATTATAGTTGACATGTTTTAGTTCTTAAGCGGGTTTCACTGTACTTATATTCATTATTTTGCTTTGAATAAAAATGTACTTAAAAAAACTGATTTTTTTAGCATGAAAAAGTCTAATGTACCGATTTCGCGCATAAAAAATCTAGCAACCCTAATCTCATCAACTGGTATGATGCTACTAGTATTTCTACTAGTGAAGATAGAACGTGAACTACATAGTTGGGCTGAAACGCAAACTGGTAGAATTCTAGTTCACAACTAGCAGCTTTCCCTGATGGGTATATGCATGTACATATGTGTGTGCTAAGGTAAGTAGAGTAAAAACGCAATTGAAGGTGGGCAGCGGTGGAAGGGCAGGACTGTAGATACCACGTCGCGCCGCGCTGCGAGAAGGAAAAGTGTTGTGCTTTCGTCGGACTTTTTGCCGCACCGTATGCATACTACACAAGCAATCATGTATACATATGCATACATATGTCGGTAATATAGTCTCTCCGCCGCCGCTTGCGCCACTACTCAAAACAGCTTTTTCAATTCAGTATTGAAGCGACTTTGAAGCGGTGTGGACTTGAGAAAAAAAAAGATTAACAAATAGAATTATTCTCAACTGTCACAACGAAACGGTAATGGCCACAACAAAACAAATGCTTTGGCAACGTGCACAACAACAATAATAAATACAATACAAATAGTGTAACAAAAACAAAATTATACTATGTACAATACTCGCATATGAAGTGTTGAAAATAAAATTATAATTCCTTTTTCAGCACAGCAAATAAGCGGGCACGCGAGCGGTCCTAAAAACGTTTGAAGTAGAAAAATCGCTGGACTGTTATTTTATAAGATAGATAAAACAAAATGGCGCGCGATCAATTGAATTCAAGTATGCGTTGCGCAAAATTTATGCTGATCATTGTCAGCTTCATGTTTGCGGTAAGTTGGTCAAATGAATAAAATAAAATAATTTATAATTTTTCAGTATATTTTCATCTTTCATCTACCAAAAAGCCACTCTCTCTCTCTCTCACATTCTCATGGCCAATATGGATATGTACATAGGTTCATAAATTTTCAAAATTTTGCGAAATTATTGATTATTTTTACGGTCTATCTTTATCGATCCTAATTACTCATGAAATTTCACACACACACTCGCATTCATACACACATATGTATATGCACATACCCCTGCAAAAATCGCGACTACTCCATGCATGCGTGTAAAGAGTACTCCCTAAGGACCAAGGAGTACTCCAAAATTAACCACAATTCATATAAAAAATATGGTCCAATTAACATTGCGATGTCCTAGGGCAGGACCATATACTCCATCCCCGCATTACATCAGAGTAGCACAAAACTACTCCAACATAATAACAATGGCATTGTTGCTATATTTTTTCGTTTGTACCCGCTTTTGTTCTTCACTTCTCAAATACTTTTTCGAAATTAATAAAAACCAAGACAAAAATTAAAAATTATTGTTGCCTCTGACGGTATTCGAACACGAACATGCTGGGAGCTAAGAACTAACAGCGAGCATCTCTACACGTTCAGCTACAGCCAGACATGCAAATGTGCTTTCAAATGCTCAACTTCAATCACGTGATTCAGTGATCGGATAACAAACAATAAGCTAGCGCAGAGACACCAGTTGGTCCGCTACAGCATGACAGAGGAACACTTTTGTAAGTACTCCAATTTACCACAAATAGACTACATGATCCAACGATTTTTGCAGGGACGTTGATCAGCCCATTAAAGCTTGTCCTTGCCTATGTATATGTGCATACTTACTCATAGAATTTTTGTTGACTTACTGATAGCAATTTGTAGTACAACTTTCAACTGAACTGAATATACATAGTCTCGCGTCTTGTAGTTTGCTTACGTACGCATTTTCAATTATGGGTCTGCAGTAGTTGCTCTCTGTGACATACACACAGACATACATATGTATGTATATATGCTCGTACATAAATAACTTATAACCCAATATTTTCACTCAATCTTACAAAAATCCCAAATTTATTACCGTTAAAATAAAATAAAAAAAATTATATGTACATTAGGGTGTCTCATTTTTACGCAGAATTTTTAGGGCAATTTTTTGAAAAAACTATTTTTAAAACTTAATTTTATTTATAAAAAAATCTATTTTGGGAGGTAATTTACAAATCGGTCTAGCTAACGTAAATATAAATATTTCTGCGAAATAGAGAGTGATGCACCCTAATGTTCTTATGTACATATGCATCTATTTTAAAATACGAATATGGTTGCCACCTTTTAAAAATTTAATTAAATTTAATTAAATTGATTATGTATTACAAATGCTTTTGAACAGGCTTTTTTTCTAAACCACATGTAGGAGGGTTGCCACCTATTTAAAAAAATCTAATTCGACTTGAATTAAGGGAATTATTTAATTTAAATATGTAGCATAATATGGATGTCAAACGAAAGAGGCTTTAGGTGGCGTAGGAAGGTCTGGCACATATTTAGTACCGCCCCAGGATTTCCTCTTCACGGTCCTGTGTACTGATGTTATAACAGCACTGGTGGCACGCTTGATAAAAAAATAGACCGTTCTATTACAGTGTGTAAAGCGACATAGCTCATGTCCTTTCACTCGTATATGAAGAGCTCTCCAAAGCCGAAGAGTGCGTGGTGGGTATTTAACAGCTTCTAATCATAATTATGAATTTTTGATGAATACATGCCCGAAGTTTAGATTTAGTTTGCTTTTCCCCAATTCATAAGAAATGAGGTCCTGCAGCTTGTGCCAAGTATCATGGCGTAAGTCTTCTTCTATTAAATAATAATATTGCGTGAAAGGTTGGAACAACTAATTGTGCCCCTTAAGTGTGCCTTGAGTCTGGCATATATTTAACATTAACAAAAGAAAAAAAATAAATAAAATAAATAAATCATCCTCAGCTTTTATTGGCGCAGGAATGAGAAGGTTTAGAAAAATTTGATATCAGAATTTTAGTAAGAAGTGATTCATTGCGTAGTTGCTTATGTAACGTATACCATACGCAGTTTACTCGCACGCCTTAACTTAAAAGCCATTTTATTTAAAAGTAATTAAATATTGACGTGGAATATTTTTCCACAGTATTCTTCGCAATTATACATAGTCTCAGGTGGACCGAGCTTTGCCCTGAATGCGTATACTTTTCAAAGTTTTCAAGATTTGGATATCTTTACAAAAAATATTTTGGGAATAAAAATAATAATTGGATTTCGAAATCCATTAAGTAAATTTCTTACTCCAAAAATTTTGGTGGCAACCCCATTCCGAAATACGCTGGAATGAATGGCACATATCCTGAGCGTATATATACCGTGTATACATAAAAAAATGCTGATTGAAATAAAGAAAATAAAAATTTGAATTGTATAGAAGCGTGGCAAACCTGACGGAAAATATTTTCTGGCCAAAATTCTCAACAACACCTTTCATTTGATATCCATTGATAATCTGTGCAGAATACACTATTATCCTAAGGGATCACATTTTGTATATAGGGAAAGCATTGTTAAGGAACCTCCTCTTGGTACCCATAAATAGTAATATTTTACTTTTTTTTTTCTAAGAAAAATTAAATAAATATGCGACTCAAAATAGGTGGCAATCCTTTTAAAAATATTTCTGAAATAGGGATCTTTAAAATACCTTCCATTTGGTACCCATATTATGATGTTTTAATTAATTTGTAACTAATTTTGAATAGGTGGCAACCTTATATGAGTCTTCTCGGAGATAAACCTAAAATCCAAAACATTATCTGTGTACACAATTTCAAGAAAATCGTTAGAGCTGTTGCTGGGGTGTGCAACAAGCCGTCAGCATAAAAAATATCAAAAGTCAAAGCAATTTTGCAGTAGCTTAAAACTTGCACTTTATTATGATAAAATTTAGTGGGCTACAAAACTGCATGCTCAAAATAATAAAAAAAGAAAATTAAAAAATGTTTAACTTTGAAATGTGTTCATTTTATTCAGCTTCGGTGTAAAAAATATTCATAGCTCAAATTATTTTAGAGTGCACCCCATAAAACTACACTTAAATATTGCGCAATACCCAAAGCTACCATTGTGATTTTTTTTTTAAATTTTTTTTTTGAGATGGCATATTTTCAACATCTAATTTTTTTTTATCAAAAAATTTTTATGTAAAAAATTTTTCAAGAAAAAAATTTTAAAAACATTTCTTTTCATGTATGTATTTGTAGGCCAGATAACAACAAGATAACAGTAATTGGTTTTTATGTATGCTATGTTTGTAGGCACCTTTGCGTACATGATGAAATTATTGCACACATACATACATATTTACGTAGAATGCAAATATACCCATGAATATCCATGTCTACCATTGCATATCAACAACTGGAAGTTGAAGATAAATAAATTGATTTAATTTCAACCAAATAAACGCACACTAAAAATTCAATTATTTTACTTCTACTAAAGAGTTTTTGCTCTTTTGCATTACCTTATGTAAATAAATTTCATCTTCAGTATTACGTATAGAAATTTTCTACCAAATATATTTGATATCGACGATTTTTTGATTTTTGTATGCAGTAGTACCTACTATATATAACACCGTCCGACACTATTTTGGATTCATACAAAAATCTAGCATTTTCGGAAAGTAAAAAGTGTGCTCTGCCCAATCCACAAGAAAGGCGAAGGCGACCCCGCCATACGCGACAACTACCGCGTTATCAGCCTTCTAAGCATGGGTTACAAGGTCTTATCGAGCGTATTGTGTGAGAGACTGAAGCCCACTGTGAACGAACTGATTGGGTCTTATCAGTGTGGATTTAGACCTGGAAAATCTACCATAGGCCAGATAATGACAATACGCCAAATCTTGTGTAAGGCTCGCGAGAAAAGGATCGACACTCACCATAAATTTTTGTACTTCAAAGCCGCTTTCGACTGCACGAAAAGAAGTTGTCTTTATGTCTGAATTTGGTATCCACGCGAAACTAATATGGCTGTGTAAAATAACGCTGAGTAATACCACCAGCTCCGTCAGAATTGGGAAAGACCTCTCCGAGCCGTTTGACACGAGGTTTCCGACAAGGTGAGACTTCCTTTCGTGTAATTTTTTTAATCTGAGGTTGGAGAGGATCATAAGATTCGCTGAATAGAACCACTCATGCACAATACTTTGCAAGGTATCATCGGTAAAAACAAGGTCTACGTCTGTTTTGCCTTCTCGGAATTAGATAGAGAAGCAATGCGAGTGGGTCTGGTGGTGAACGAACATCACACATACACACATAGCATATGCATCTTGGCACCCACGTCACTGTTGACAATTACAAGTTTGAAAGGGTTGGTTTATTTAGGAACCAGCCTTAACGTCGATAATAATGTCAGCCTTGAAATCTAACGGAGAATCACTCTTGCCAACAAGTGCTACTTTGGACTGAGTAGGCAATTGAGAAGTACAAAAATCATATTCTATGATTCGGTCATCATGCCTGTGCTGTGCTGCGTATAACCTTGAGACATGGACAATGTAAATATCTGATGAAGCAGCTCTTGGAGTTTTCGAGAGGAACATTTTGCAGTTTAACGACGAACTGTATGAGCTTTATAATCATATAGACATAGTGCAGCGAATTAAAATGCAGCGACTCCGCTGGCTAGGCCATGTCGTTCGAATGGACAGAAACGCTCCTGCTCTGAAATTATACAACGCGGGTCACGATGCTGGTAACAGAGGAAGAGGAAGGGCCCCCACTGCGATGGAAGGTCCCAGAGGAAAAGGACTTGGCTTCATTTGGCATTTCCAATTGGCGCCAGTTGGCACAGAAAAGAAACGACTGGCGTACTGTTTTGGTCGCTGCCAAAATTGCTTAGGCTGTTATAGCGCCTATAAAGAAGAAGAAAAAGTTCCGAAATAGTCCTGAACGGTCCCGAAATTGTCCCTAACGAGTCCCGAAATGGTCGTAAGCTATTCGCGAACTAGTTTTAAAATAACCCTGAATATTAGTTCATTTATACACAAAAGAAGCAACTAAAAATTTCCTACTGTGTTAACGTAAATTTTACAAATACCAAGATCTAAAATGTTTACACCTCAAAAATGTATTAAAAAAAAAACATATCTACCGTGTGGATATTTTACAACGGAAGCTTTACTGCACTGAGAAAAAACTCCCACTAAGAAATAATTTGCCAGGAGCAAGTAAAGAGTCTGAATATAAACCATAACCGTCAAAATGTTTTATCTTGCCTAATTTAACAACAACCTGCATTAGTTATGAGACAAGCTCATTTCTGTTCTATTTCATGTTTGAGATTGAACAGAAGGTCAAACATATTCGTAGAAGGCACCCTCCTCATCCAGTTATTTTTATACCTAGAATACATTCAATAGCCTTTTCACAAAAATGAGGTTCTGAATCAAAAATTCAACTGAGACTTAACTGTCATCGGTGATATTAATGCTGACCTTGCATAACACTAGACAGAAGAATTCACTATTAAATTGCAAAGTCAGAATTAACATTTCTGATGACAGGTAAGTCCCAGAAAGGTTCTAACATCACAAAGTTGTTTTTGTGAAAATTGCGGATAGATTAGCCCTAAATATATAAGAAAATATCAGCTCACCATATCCTCGAACCACACATCTCATCATCTCCACAAATCTCATCATGCATCTGAGCATTAAAAACTTTACTTCCAGGTTCAAACATGTACTCGTGCTTTAAGCTCATTTCAATCGCTTCTATATTTCTAGCTCACAGCCATTTTACTCATCATGGTCGGTACAACAATCCAAACCATTTTTGGTGACTTCAGTCAATTTATTGACGATCACTTCTCCTCTCCGCCAGCGTTACTCATTGCGATCGGTTTTATTTTGCTGTTTGTGGCAACACTGGGCGCCTATGGTGCGGTTAAGGAGAGCGTTATGCTGATTAATTTGGTAAGCAACGGAAAAAGAGCATAAGTAAATTAATTGTAAAAACTCACATTTCATTTACTTACAGTATGGCTTCAGTTTGTTCCTGGTCTTCATTCTGGAAGTAGCCGCAGCCATTGCCGCTTTTGTAATGCAAACTCAGGTGCGTGGCATGCTGATGCGTACTATGAACGAGTCTATACAGGCCTATGATGACAACGTGTACGTGGCAGCCGGCGTAGACTTTATGCAGTATACTGTAAGTATTTAGAAATTTTGATTCACAATACTAGTGCTTGGAAAATAAATAGTAATTGCTCTTATTTTATGTACTTTATTGATCTACAGCTTGGCTGCTGTGGTGTAAATAGCCCTGTAGACTGGAAATTGCAAAATGACACAAATGTGGAGAATAAAATTGAATTGCCACCATCATGCTGTGAAGAATACTCCATGGACGAAATGAATTTCGATGAATGTGTTAGGCCTTATGATAGCGGCTGCTTGCCTCGCATGGACTTCATCATCTCACAGAGTACAATGTTGATTGCTACCGGCGCTACGACAGTGGCTTTTGTGCAGGTAAATAAGCAATGATAGTACACTATAGTCCTGGCTAGATAAAATAGGTGTAAGCACCTTCTTTGAGCCTGGACTGCCTCCAGAATAATAGTTTCCCTTTGAGATGATCACTTTTGGTGTTGGGGAGATTTTCTTAACTGAGATACTTTTTATTAGTGTCTGGACTGGTTTTATCCTAGAAACTCTTACCAGGAGTAACCAGTCCTGTTGCTGGCAAGTTTTTTCTGACAAGGGTTTTCTTGATACCGCTATGACAAGCTCTGGTAAGTGGCAGCCATAACATAATAAACTATGAGGGCACTGGTTATTTTCTCCGAAGCTAAACTGGGGAAGCTTGATTTAGCATCCTGCAGCAAGTGCCCGTAAACTTGGCCGCCAGGTACTCCAGTTCCAACCAATTTACCGGTGTACGAAATTGATGCAATTTTATTTACTCATCGTTAGCTACGACTTCTTCCCACTTTTCTAGCAATTCATGGATGCCGCACCAATAACACTGCTCGTATTTGGAGAAGCGCACTCTTGTAAGTGCATTCTACATCGACCGGAAAAAATGTTAATGGGATGGTGGCAGGCCTACGCTGTAAGGTGGGTAGGTTAGGACTTCGTATTCAGTATCGTCGGGATAAATATTGACCGCTTGTGCTACATGCGGCCGAGCATTGTCATGGTGGAAGATCAATGACTAATTTCTGATTGCCCATTTCGACCATTTTTGAACAATCGCACGCTTCAATTATTATTAGTACGTCTGGTATACTCGCGCTGCGACCTAAAAGATCTATTTGTGGTAAACCTTAATTGTAGTCACTCCAACCTTAGAAAGAATTTTAGCACATTGGAGGGTGCCGTGTTCCAAATCTTGGGTGGAGAAGACAATCGTTCCCCAAGGTACATCAGTCTGCTATTCATGATACGCGGGCAGTCACACACAATGTGATCTGAGGTTTCCTCCGCCAGCCCACAGAACCTGCAGTCCGTCTCTACAGAAAGCCCCATTTTGTTCAGATGGTACCATAACTTGCAGTGTCCTGTCAGGTAGCCTGTAAGAGTCCTAATGCCCTTCCCGGCTGAGTTCACGGAGTCTTTCTGAGTTCCTCGTGGAAGGAGTTATGAATTTCTTAGATTGTCTCATTCCCTTTGACTTAAGCCAGTGGGCAGCAATCTGAGATTCCTCCCAACTCCTAAGAAGTTCTGCAGTGTATCCTCTAGATGTACCATAGAAAGACTCGGGACCATTCATTCGCGTTTGGGCTCCACGTTTTGCGAGATAGTCAGCCCTTTCGTTGCCTTCAAACCCTTCATGCACAGGAGCCCACCACACCATAACTCTATTGTTGGCTCCTGGGCTATTCGGAAGAGTTTTACAACTGTCCACAAGCCTTGATGTCATTCTAAATGAGTCTAGGGCCCTTAGTGCTGTCTGACTATCCGACATAATATTTATTCTGGCCCCGTTTGCCTTCTCCGAAGACATTCTCGAACACAGACTTCGATTGCGAAGACTTCCGCCTGGAATTTGGTTGAGTATGACCCCCTTCGCTGGCCTTTCTGGAACCTTGGTCCAAGCACGCCTGCCCCAGCACTCCCGTCTTCCATCTTTGATCCATCGGTATACCATACTAGGGACCCTTTGTCAATCATAGATATCAGCGCTTTATAACAGTCCCTTTCAGGAATTCTTACCATGTAGGGCTTATCAAAGAATATTTTCGGTAGCATGATATCTGTGAGCTTGATAGCGGGATTATCCAGAAAAGGCTTGAGAACCTCCAAGTGACCCCAAAGATCCCCACTCTTTATGCTGATTACTTTAGGCAGCCGTAGGGCGCTCCACCAGGCCTCCTTTTCTATCAGAATAGATAGAGGAGGAATGCCTGTAACTATACCGAGGGCATCCGATGGACAGGTGCGCATAGCTCCTGTGATGGCCACACAGATCAAGCTTTTGGCCACCAGGCCAGTGCCGCATATGTGACAACAGGTTTCACGACCGTACCCGACCCCAAGTTGTACCATGGAGTCTCTGGCAGGCACAAAACTCCCTTGTAGCCTTGTTGGTAACATTAAGGAGATGTGAGTTCCAATTGAGCCTTTTGTCCAGAGTTACTCTAGATACTTCGCTTCTTCTGAGAACTCAATTTCTGTCCCTTCCAAGGTGGGTTTAGTCAAGTTGACTCTCCTTCTTTTGGTAAATGGGACAACGGTGGACTTCTGCGGGTTTATTGACAATACCTTTGAAGCACACCAGTCTTAGATTAATCTGAGCGCAGCCTGCAATCTGGAACAAATTGTGTCCTCATGCCAGCCGACAACGTAGATGACTAGGTCATCTGCATATCCATATGCCTTGAGTCCATTGTCGTTTAGCTTTTCGAGGAGTTCGTCAACAAGCAGTGTCCAAAGTAGAGGCGATAAGACTCCCCACGGGTGGCAGTTACTGCTTGCCTACTGACCGATCCAATCCGTTAAAAGACCAGGAATATCATAGCTGTCGATATTGCTGCAAAATACGTATTGTCGAAAGCACCTGATATGTACAGGAATGCACACAAACCTATCTGTTTATACCGCAATACCTATTCAATAACTTTAGTTAGGCTATGTATTGCAGTAAAAGTAGATTTGCCTGCACGCTCCAATACTATCACTTTTTGTCTGTAGATAGCCTCGTTGGCCACCTGATCACTTTTCAGAGGCTCATGATACAGTTTTCCCTTCTGGTTCTACCAAATGCTTCCCGAAAACTGAGTTTTGTTGGCGTAAAAGCTGGCATAGTCATTGCTGAACATAAAACATACTGTAAAATGTTGTTAAATGATGACACTTAAACATGAAGTGGGCTGCACTTTGCCCGGTATGATTAACCGCTACTGATGCCCTCTTTTGACAATCGTTTAAAATTGTTTAAAATTTACATGGCTACCAATATTTTGAAAGTGCCTTTGTTCTGTCTAACCTAAATCAAAGTGGATATGCCGGAGGTCGAAAAATTAGTTCTATCACAGAACGCTCCACGTTCAGATCGCGCTCTCCACATTCTTTGAGACCAGAGTAATATCTAGTACCTTCGGTCTGGTGCATTGCCTTGTGGCAAAATAATAGCATAGAAGCTAAAAAGTAACTCACTTATTTCGTTAATATCCCATCATCTGCTATGATGAGTGCCTCCTCTCCTTAACACAGGCTGTCGGAACTTCCCTGTCATAGGCCAGATATTTGGGTCCAGACAGAAGTGTCATGTCTCCGGTTTATGTCCAAGTTAACCTTCATGGCGTACCCATCTCTGAATTTAGGGAGAAATACAATTTTTAGTTTGGTACTTATAAGGATATAGGTACTAGGCTTTCCCAAAAGGGCTACACTTACCAATTTGTATTCTTCTGACTTTAGCCCACAAATATATTTTTTCCCATCAATCTTGGATGAAGACAATGTCGACCTGCTTTATTGAGGTGCAGGTTTATTTGCAAGTTCGGCATTATGTCGGCATCTATCTTCTGCCTGACCAGTATATAAGAAACAGGATTCCTCGGACTAAGCTTCTCTCAGTACGCTAATATAAAGGGTAGGCCCATAGAGTCCGCCCATCATTCTGTTTTTAAGGTTATAGAAGAGTCTTTGGAAAGCAAAGACTTCACAGTTAGGGCCTTCCTGGATCTCGAGGGGGCTTTTATTACCAGAGGCGATTGTAAAGGTCGAACGCAAGCTCGGAGTTGAGACCAACCTAGTTGCGCTTATCTCACGCATGCTATGCGATATAAATATCATTGCTGGTTGAGAAGAGTGCCTCTCTCCAGCGTAAGGTCATTATGGGCAGGGATATCTAAATTTGGCCACAAACTGCTCTGGAATCTGCGTGCTCACTAATAATCCTGGCGAGACGGAACTCATCTTGTTCACCAGGAGATACAAGGTGCCTCAAGCCCAGCTTCCCTCGAACGGTGGAACTCTACTTTTGACATCAAAAATTTTCGAAATTGAGGTCAAATTTTTTCTATACTCCTTCTGACCATACACGTTTCCGCCTGGAAAATGCTTGCTTGCTCCGGTGGACAGAAGGATATCCCGTAAGAAAATACCGAGATGCCCTTCAAGCGCTTAGTCTCTCTCCGAATGCAGTCATTGCGACTTAGAAATTTCGTGTGGGGTTTGTGGGGATTCTACTTAGGATTGACTTTTTTTTCAGTAACCTAAAGCCCAATATCTGATTCCGCTATCAGCAATAGAATTTTTGGCCCAAGGGCAATTCATATATATTGGCCCTAGGATGCTGAGTCTTAACCTCGTGTATCTGGGCAGTAACTCATCCGCGCCTAAACTTGAACAGAAAAGAAATTATCTTTCTCATAAGGACATTTGCTGGTCAGTGCCAACATGGCTTGCGTGAGATAAAAATAAAAGTGGACTCTCTCTCTCTCATAGCGTCAGCAAAGTGGTTTGTACTTGAGTGAGCTCATAATATCGAACATCATTTACTCCAAAAAATGCGTCTGAGGCTCTGTGGGGCAGTTTGGGCATTTGAAGGTTTACGAGTGTGTGTGTGTGTGAGTAAGTTTGTTGCACTTTCACACTCAAACCGCTGAATGTATTACAATTAAATTTAGCGCACAGATGGATTAACATATATGATATTATTTAAGAGTGTTGTCACTCTTTTCAAAAGTTAAAGTGAAGTAATTAGTTAGTAAAACAACGAGAATGTCAAATGCAAAGGATTCAAAAACGATTTATTTCGAAAATGTTTTTAAGACGGTTGCCACCCGTTCAAAAAGGAAAACCAATTTAAGAAAGAAGAGGGATCAAATGTTTTAATATAGATATCAGATTTGATAATATAAACGAAAGAGGTATATAAAGTTGTATTTCCAAAAATACTTTAAGAGGGTTGCCACCTGTTTGGAAATTCAAAATTAATTTAAAAAACAAGTTGAACGAAATAAATATTTCCATATGGGTGTCAAACAAGAGAAGCAAAGAAATCAGCTTTCTTTCTAAAGTATTTTTGTAGAGTGTTGCCACCAGTTCAAAAAGTGAATATCAATTTAATTAACGACTTAAATAAAATTTTTTAATATGGGTATGAAGGAAAAGAGGTTTAAGAAGGCTTTATTTTGAAACGGGTTGCCATCTGTTTCCACATTCAAAATTAATTTAATTTACAAGTAAGGTGAAATATTTTTATACAAAACGCTACTGTCAATCGACAAGGATCTTAAAATTTATTATTTTTTTATATTTTTGAAGAGAGTTGCCACCTGTTTAGAAATTCAAGATAAATTTTATTAACAAGCTAAGTGAAATATTTTAATATGGTTATCAAAGGATAAAAGTTTAGAAAGCCTTATTTCAAAAATATTTTTGGAGGGGCTGCCATCTTTTTTGTAATTCGAAATTATTTTAATTAACAATTTAAATGAAATATATTAATAAGGATGTCAAACGAGAGAGATTTACGTAAGCTTTATTTCTAAAGTACTTTGGAAAAGGGTTGCCTCCAGTTTAAAAGTGTCAGTGCTATTTAATGAAAATTAAACGAAGTTAAAAAAAGCTTTTTCTACAAAATATTTTTGAAGAATGTTTGTACCAGTTTTAAAAGGCAAATTTAACTTAGTTAATTAGTTAACTGGTATAATTACAATGAATTGCACTAAATTCATCAGCATAATTTGATAGCCTTTTGTAAAATATATTCAGGTGCAGCTGACATTTGTTTCTCCTACAATTTTACCCCACTCTCTTTACAGATCCTGGGTGTCCTTTGCGCCTTTATGTTGGCTAAAACTCTGCGTCGCAACAAGTCTATACGCGCAGCACGCCGCTGGCAACTACAACAAAGCTTGGGTGTACTCATTTCGGGTGGGAAAATGGCGCCACCACCCAGTTCACCAATTAACGGTTATACACAATTGGAGCGTGCCGAACGTTACGTGGAACAAGATCCCATAACTTATACGCCAAGTAGTCCCAGCGTAAATTAGGTGAAATGCAAACGGCAGAGGGATGAGTTCAATGCGCCAAGAGCAAGTAACAAGCAACACTGAAGTGCCTAAAATAGTTTTTTTTCGTCTCGTTGATCTTTGTTTTTTTTTAATTATTGATTATATTTTTTGAACTTTCTACTATACAAAAAAAAAATTGTATATTTATTGTAACACACAGCAAATTTAATCTATATACTATGTAGTTATATGCAAGTGCAGGTAATTATGTACATAATCATACACTCTCAATTGTATTAGCAAGTAAATGTGTCAAAATTAAATAAAGTTTTACTCAAGTGACAAAGCAAACGTTTATTTATTTAAATTATTTGTATTTAAATATTGGTACCAAAAAAAAAATAAATGCTTACAATTTTATTCATTGTAATTTTTTTAGGCCCTCCACAAATGCTTGCAATGTCTTCAATTGCTGCTGCACTGAAGTGGTTGCCGTGCCACCGGGCACATCATATTTCTCCACATTTACAGCATAATCGGCCACCTGCACTATATCCACATCGAAATGCTTGCAAATTTTCTGCAATTCGCCCAGCGGAATTTCGGTGAGTTCCCGCCCCACCTTCTCGGCATAGGCGACCACTTCGCCGATATAGTGATGCGCTTGACGGAATGGCACGCCTTTACGTACCAGATAGTAGGCCTGCGAGAGCGATAATTATGTCTAATTAGTTTTATGCATACTTTCCTCAGTTTAATAAGAAAAAAAAAGAAAAACTCACCCAATCCGTGGCCAACATATCTGGACTCAGCGCCGATTCCATGCGTTCACGATTCAGCTGCATGGTTCTTATGACACCTTCAACTACGGTTAGAGCGTCCTGTAGACGATCGAAAGCATCGAACGCATATTGTTTATCAAATTGCAAGTCCTTATTGTAAGTGGTTGGTGTGCCCTTAATGGTCATCATGATGCCTAGCAGATTTATGGTAGAGAAATAGAGTATGGAGTTAAAATATAAAGTAAAGACGCATTTTTGTATACACTTACCACTCAATGAGGAGCATATGCTGCCCGAAATTCCACGCACCAACTCCAAGCTATCAGGATTACGCTTCTGTGGCATCAAACTGCTGCCTGTTGAGAATGCATCGGCAATTTTTATGAAATCGAATTCCTTGGTAGCATAGATTATTAAATCTTCAGCCAAGCGTGAGAGATGCAGACTGGCCAGTGAGCAACAGTAGATGAAGTCAACTAGGAAATGAAAAAGTATGATAATTTTATTTTGGGTGTACAAGCAGATAAAATGTAAAAGGTACTCCTCACAATAAGGTGCAAGGTCTCGGTGTTGGGACCCTCGAGGGTAGGCATCGAATTGACCATAAATGACTACATAAAGGATGTGATGGTAGTAGGCTTGGATAGTAAATTATTGTCGAGGAAAGCAGACGGAATGGCTGTGTTCTTTCTATACATGTAAGACCAGGTTGAGGTGGAATAAGAGTTGGGGTTGAAGTTTGGCACGTCTCGACGAAGTTCCCTTTTTCACATCACTGTCGCATCGTATCTTTTAGAACCAAATCCTCGAAGGACGAATTAAAATGGCTTCAAACAGTTGGTGTCTGAAGCTGAACTCCCGCATACGAAAGAGTCAAACTCAGCAGACCAACTGGATGCAGCGATTCTTCGTCTAACGAGTTCTCTCAACGAATGTTATATGAGAACAAACCTTCCAAGCGATATACAAAGTGGTGGGCAGCGAAGCTAAGGAAAGCAGTTAGGAAAGCTTTTAATAGAGCAAAGTTTATGAAGGATGCGGAAGACTGTGCGTTTAAGATAGAACTAACAAAGCGACGCAGGCATTGTGGTCCAAATTTTTGTGTGGACGTCGAAATGACTACTGGAGCTGCGCAATTAAAATGATGCCTTTCGAAGAGCTCTGCTCGGCTCCGGTTTCCGGGAATATATGTAGTTAGGGGGAGACAGTCAGCCTCGTAGCAGAAATCGGTAACACTTAGAGGTAGGGCAGTCCAGGCGACGTAATTGGCACTAAGGCTAAAGTAGGTTGAGCTATTAAATTCGTCCAAATCTAAAAGTCTGCGGATACGAATGAAACCTTACAATAACACCTTGGCTAACGACTATCTCTATATACATATAAGACTAGTCTCCTCCTTAGCTATATACCAATACCATGATTGGAAGTGTGAGTGCATTCCTAAAGCAGCGAGGACACCCTTTTCCTTTCGAAAACTTCAGCGAGGGTCGAAATGCTTACCACGAAGATAGAACGGTAGCCTTGCAAGAAGTTTTTAAGAATATTGAACAGAAACAGACAAAAGAACTTTTTTGACAAAAAGCACTTTCAAATTGAGATGAATAAGTATGTACATAGGTACATATGTAATTTTGCTAGCGCTACTCCAACCGTAAGCAAAGCACTAGCATGCCATTCGAGTGATCCGAGGTTCAAATCTTCGGACAGCTGATTTTTTTTTTTTTAATTAGAAATTTGGTTTTCATTGTTTTAAAAAGAAAATATATTTAATTTTTAGAAACTTGTTTTATTTTAAATTTTAGAAACTAATTTTATTTTTGTCAATATTATTGTGGGTTATTAACATTTCAAAAGCAACAAAGTCTAATACCATGTTCTGACCGACATCGAAAACATGTTTTCGTTGCTAAAACTGGTTTTCGACCTAAAACTTGTGTTTTCGTCCATGTAAAATCTATCAAACGAAAACCAGTTTTCGCTGAAAACTACTTGAAAACTCATGTTCCACTCAGTCCAATCGGTGTCTTCACTATTTTTTTTTTCGATTATTTATCGAAGTGGGGATCATATTTTATCATCTTTAATACGCCATTTCGGATTTATTGGTAATTGGTTGACCTAAGTAAAATAAGAATGAAAGGAAGAGGTTGTAAATGAAAAGAAATTGAAGGCAAAGTATTTTGGTTCTGGTTTTGTGTAGCAAAACTGTAATCAAAAGATGTAAGAAATGTCAACGGAAACGCTAACAGCCGGTGTGAACAGCCTTCAGTCCACAATCCCAAAACCCTTTTTCAAACTGTTTTCGTTGTCGGTCAGAAAATAGTATAAGCTGTAGAAGTCATAGCAGAATAACAATATTTAAATAATTTAATTTTCATTTTTTATTTTCATTTTCGGATTTATTTTTAAAAACTTTTTATTTAAATTTTTAAAAAGATTTTTTTTAATTTAATTTACTTTTAGATAGATATTTTTTCATCCTTTTTAATTCACTTCTGTTGTTTTTTAATGTAATTTTCTTTAATTTTTTTTCTTTTTCAATTAATGTTCTTTAAATTTTTAGATTGTAACTTACATTTTGAAGAACTCATTTTACTATTTTCCTGTTTGCATTTTATTTATTTTAATGTTCTTCTTTTAACTTATAGATATTATTTGATAAGAAATTTTTTTTTAATTTCATTTCATTTTAAAAAAATATATATATTTTTTTTCTTTTTTAAATATGTTTGTTGCGTTTTTCGTTTTTAAATATGTTTTCTCTATTTCAATTAAATTTTCATTTAATTTTTAGATTTTATTCTTTTATATGTTTTAAATATCATTTAATTTCAATAAGTTTATATAAGTTTTTTTCCTTTGTTTTTTTATTTTCACTGTTATAAAAAGAAAAATATATCCATGTATTTTGTTTGTTTGATTTTATTTTAAAAAAACTTATAGTTTGACAAGAGGCGTGCCATTCGAGAGTTTCCTGGTTAGAATCATCGGTTAGTGGAATTATTTATTTTTTCATTTTTATATGAAAGAAAAAAATATTCTTTTGTTTGAATTTTGTTTCAGTTTTAGAAACAATTTTTTTGTTTTTGCTTTTGTTTTTTTTATTTATTGTGTTTTTCTTTTCATTTTGTAGATTTTATTGTTTTAAAAAGAAAAAATATTTTTTTTTTTATTTAATTTAATTTATATTTTTTTCAGTTATTGATTCAGTTTTTATTATGGTTTTAAAAAGAAAAACATATTTTTGAAAAAACCTGTTCTATACTCTGTTTTAATATTTCTTTTATTTTATTTTCTTTTAATTTCAAAAATTTTTGTTTAAAAAAATTATTCTTTTGTTTGAATTTAATTTCAGCTTACGAAGCTTTTTTTAATTTATTCTATTTTCCTTTTTTTTAAATTTAATTTTTCGATTTTATTGCTTTAACAAGAAAAAAATTTTTTTTTTATGTACATACATAATTTAATCTGTATAACCATTTTTTTTTTAATTAATTTCTTTCATTTTATAATTCAACTTTTATTATTTTGACATTTTTATTATTTTAGAAATAAAAGTATATACATATTTTTAAATTAATTTGATATTTAGAAACTTATCTTACCTTTGTTCTTGATTTTTAATATTTTTTTTTATTTTTAGTTTTAAAAATTATGGCTTTTAATTTCATTAACTTATAGAAACTTTAATTTCTTATTAATTTATTTTTATTTTAATTTTAAGATTTTATTGTTTTATATTTTTTGTTTAACTTTATTTAGTTCACAGAAACTTGCTTTATTAATATTTTTTTTTATTTACTTATTTTTTCTTTTTTAATTTCATTTTTAGATTTTATTATTTTAAAAATAAATATTTATTTGTTTATTTTCATTTTATTCGTAGAAATTTTGTTAAGATTTTTTGGTTAAGTTTTTAAATTTAATGTTCTTTTAGTTTTTAATGGTTTAAAACAATTAGTGTGCATATTTATGTCTTTGATTTTATGTAATTTTCAGAAAAAATATTGCTAAGAGACAAAAAGAATCTTCAGATCTTTCAGTTAGTCTTTCGAAGAAAAAAAGAGCTTTCAAAATAGTTGCTAGAATTGGGAATTGTCTTACGAAAGATTTTGAGGCGATCATAGCTCGCAAATAGAGGCATTTCTTTTGTACTTTAGAAACTCGAATTCAACAAACAATAGCGCTTTTGTTAGTTGTTAGTGTAGCAGATTTAAAAAATGTTATTGCGGTTATCTCGAGATAAGCTCGCTTCTGTCGCTTTTGCATATATATGTATATGTATGTCCATATGTTAATAAAAAAACATTCACAACAAATCTTCAATTCTACTCCATTAACACGTACATATGTATGTATGTCGTTATTTGCGAACCTCATAATTGAAAGCAAATAATAATCTTTCAGAAATCCAAAAATTATTTTCAAAATATACATATCAACCACCATCCACCTTTCCCCCTTCCTCCCTTCCTCCCTTCCACCCTTCCTTCACTTACCCACAAAATCACGATCACCGACCGCGTGCATGCTGTTCGGCGTCACGCCGGCAAAATTCAAACGCTTAGCCAGCCACTCGCGATCAACACCCAACGGATTGCCAGCCAAGGCGCCGCTACCCAAGGGCAACAAATTAGCGCGCTCTTTCAACTCCAACAAGCGCTGACAGTCCGCCTGCAGTGCGAAGGCATGCGAGAGCATCCAATGTGAGAATTGCACCGGCTGAGCGCGCTGCAAGTGCGTATAGCCCGGCATGAGTGCACCCAAATTCTTTTGCGCCTGCTGCACTGCAGCCTCGATCACCGCACGCAAACCGTGCATCGTTTCTCGTATGCCGCGGCGCAACCACAATTTCATATCGGTGATCACTTGATCATTGCGACTGCGACCAGTATGCAAACGTTTGCCCACATCACCGATTAGCTCGGTGAGTCGACGTTCATTCACTGTGTGTACATCCTCATCGCTGGGTAGAAATTTGATGCTACCATCTTTCCATTCGCGACGTACTACTTCCAAAGCAGCGCCAATGTTGGCTGCCTCTTTATCAGTAATTAGGCGTGATCTTGCCAGCGCTTCGGCGTAGGCTATGCTACCGTCGATATCTTCGGAGTAGAAGCGTGAATCGAGCGGTAGACTGCAATTCAATTTGGCCAAGCATTCACTGGTTTTACCCTCAGCATCACCGAAACGGCCGCCCCACAGCTGTTGCGCAGCCATTACGCTATTGTAGTTGTGGTTGATAGCTAGTTGTTGGTGGAAAAATTTGCGTGTAGGCGACTCGACGTTATTGTCTATGCGTTTTAACACAAATCCCCGTCGATCGTTAAGAAAAAGGCACGCAGTCTGTTCGCTCGCGATCGCTCTCACTACGATCTGCACTGTTTAAATTTTAGAACGCAACTGTTTGCAGCGCTGCTTATTGCTTGTTGTAGTCAAATATCAAGGAGATACGAGATAGTCACGTTATCTCCACTCTAAAATGATTAGCAAATTATTACTGTAGTTTGGTTTCTTATTAAGTATACATACATACATATATGTATATAGTATTTACATATGCAGTGATGATTTAAAATACGCAGGCAAAGAGATGGAGAGCTTTCAACTCAATCGAAATTGGGGAGATATGTATAAATAAATGGCACTTTAAAAGATTTAATCAGTAAAGTCACATATAACAATTAAAAATATTCAACTTGACGCATACACCCTAATCAAATACTTACCACAAAAAGTAATCACAAACCGTTATTAATGAATTCGTTTCACTCGACGTTTGTAAATGTATAAATAAACTTAGTTTAAACAACATCGTAAATATAGTGGGAGATATCTTTTAATAAGTATTTTGGCGAAATAAAAGCAATGTATGTATTTACATTAGGATGCGTCACTCTCGATACAAAAAAATTAAATTAAATCGGTACTATTTTTCCATCGCAATTATAAAACGTTATATATTCGAAAATGTCCGCAAAATTGTTAAGGTTCACGTAAGCTGGACCGACTTGAAAAAACCGCTAATAATCTCATTATTTCCATTCCGTCGATAAGAAAGTTTCAAAGATTTTTGTTCAGCCTTATCATGAGTTTCGTTTTCTCCAAACCGCTTCAATTTTAGCTTTTGGTTTCCATGTATCTACTATGGGTGGATGAAAAATTTTCGAGTGAATGTTTTCCGCGCGAAACTCAGGATACACTGAGAAAAGAGTTTATTTACGTCAACTAAATATGTTTTCTTCAATACATGATTTAGTTATAATTACATTATTTGGTTATAGTTACCAAATGATATGTTGAGAGAAATTTATTTAGCTGACTTTTTTCTGTGTGTAAGGCCGATTATCGCCCCTGTTGTGGAACCTTGTGCGAAGCCACTAAGGTCGTTGCGTATGCGAATGACTTAGTCATTCTGGTCGTGGGGCAATTCGTCTCCATGGTCAGCGATGTTATACAATCTGCAATTAACAATCTGACAGGATGGGCAGAGGGAAACGGTCTAAGGGGTTAACCCCACCAAAGCCGAACTTGTTCTTTTCACCAAGCGATACAAGGTTGACAAATTTCAAACTCCGTTTATCAATGGAGCAAATCTTAGATTGTCAGAAGAGGCAAAGCTTTTTGCGGTTATTCTCGACTCTAAACATTCCTGGAAAAGCAACACTGAAGTGCGGAGAAAAAGGAGCTTAATGCACTCTACTCCTGTAAAACTGCGATTGGGAAAGGCTGGGGGAGGGGGTTTGTTGTTAGACCTTTTTTCACCTATGGCGCGCTGATGTTGTGGGAGGCGGTTGACACCAAATCCTATCCGGTGCGGTTGACTTAACGCCCCAGGCGGCGCTGGAGACACTCCTTCACATTCCACCCGTAGACCTATACGTTAAAAGTACCGTAGCCAAAATCACTCTACGATTCAAGGCGTCTAACAAGCTGCGAACAACTTGCAAGGGACACGTCGCAATCCTCGACAGAGTGGGGTTGGAGTACAGTAGCAGTGACTATCAGATCACGCAAATCGATGTCCCTTTTCCCGACAGAAGTGCCCGGTAATTTAATATTTTTCTCAGTGATGACGGGGTATTTCGTAACGGACGGGTCCAAAAATGTCATCTCTGAGAGTATTCTGTAGACCCCCAGACCACTGCAGTGTTTTGCAAGCTCAGATATATGCAATCGATATGGTGGCAAGGCTGGTGACACGATCGACCTATCGCCATCTAAATTTACCTTCGTTGTTGCCAGTCAAGCTGCCATCAAAGCCTTAGGGTCATCAGCGACTAAGTCAATATGCGTTAAGGAATGCTGAAGATGCCTGCAAGCTGCACAGCAACACAAAATCAATCTCTGCTGGGTCCCGAAACATAGTGGTGTCCCAGGAAATGAGGAAGCAGAAGAATGTGCTACAAAAAGATCTGAGATGGGAATTTGGCGAAGCGAACCATATCGTAAAACCTCCCCTGAGATTTCTGTCTTCAGAAGTAGTGAGACTTACACGGTCAGCCACCAACCACGGCCCAACGAACGGAGAAGTTTATTAAGGCTTTCGAAGCCAAACGTTAGGCTTCTCACGGTAATACTAACGGGACACTGGACCATTGGCCACATGGCCGTGAGGTTCGGAGCCCCGTGTGACGATTTCTGCAGAAGCTGTTGAGATGAGGAGATTGAATCCGTCCAGCACTCCAGCACTCCGTCCAGAATGCTCATCACTCCGAGCAAAGCATCTCAAATTTCTTGGAGACCATGTCATCGAAAGCCTGGATATCTTGGGGAAAGCTCCACTTAATGGACTGCTAGGATTCGCCAGAGAATCAAAATGGTTCAAAGATATGTATGGATAGGCATGGAGTAATCCCCTGGGCTTCGTAATGGGCCTTTGCGGCTTCCGAGCGAACTCTTTTTAGAGCTGCTCGTTTAACCTAACCTAACCTATGCAGCCCTCTTGAGTTTAAAATATTATATCAGCTGAGGTGATTTTTTTTAATAAATATTTTTAAAAACTAATTTTATTTATAAAAAACTCAATAGATATTCATGTAACCGCGTAACCCTCGTAAATAAATCAATTTTTATACAAAATTAAGTAAGTTTACGAGGCAACTCTTCTAAGGGTGCTTGCCAGGGGGGGCAAGCAAAGGATCTTTGATGCAACCATCGGAAAATTCAGCCTATACGACAAAACGTCCAATGACGCAGGGAAAGTTCTACATCCAAAAGCATCAATCATAGCAGACTGCCAATCTATTTGCCACTCGACTTTCACATCTGCTCTCAGAGAACCCTATTCAACAAACTGAAATATGCGAGCAGCGGAACCACATTTCCCGCTCATCAAGTACCGGTGTTGTAGAAGTAGTCGAATTTCAGCGAGCCCGAAATACCGACAGGTACGATGAGGAATATCACAAAGCTGCCTTGCACGAAAAGAAATAACTTCACAAGAAATCCTGCTGGTATTTGGTATGCCCCGTATTCAGGTCCGATTTCGTTCATATTTAGAAAGCTTGTTTTAAAAATATTTTGTTTACTATTAACTTATTTAATTTGATTTACTTTTAATTTTAGGTTTTATTTTTTTAAAAAGCAAAATATTTCCATATATACATATATATATATATATATATATATTTATTTCATCTAATTTTTAGAAACTTATTTATTTACTTTTTTAATCTAGTTTTTAAATTTTTTTGATTTAAAAGGCATAATAATTATTTAAAATTTCATTTAATTTTTTAAAACATTTAATTTTTTAATTTAGTTTTTAGATTTTATTCTTTTAAAAGCAAAATACATATTTTTGTAATTGAATTTAATTTTTTCAAACTTTGTTATTTATTTTTAATTTCATTCTTAGTTTTTATTATTTTAAAAAGCAAAATACTAATGTATATTTTTTTTCTTTATTTTTAATTTTTAGAAACTGATTTATTTGCTTATTTTAATTTAAGTTTTAGATTTTATTGTTTTAAAAATCAAAATATTTATATATTTTTTTATTTCATATAATTTTTAGAAACTTATTTATTTTTTTAAATTGAATTTTTAGATTTTATTCTTTAAGAAAGTAAATGTATATTTTGGTTAATTGCATTTAATTTTTAAGAACTTAGTTTACATATTTTTATTTATTTTATTTTTTCTTTTTTAATAAAATTTTCTTTAAATTTTTAGATTTTATGACGCGATGTAGGAATTTACAGGACAATTATTTCGTAAGAAAATTGTCCATACTGTCTACTAAATTGTCCATCTTGAAAGCTCTTTACTGTTTTTCGAAAGAGAAATTTAAATATTTGCTAACGAGGAAGTCTTAGCGTTTTAGCAATAAGGTTTTTTAAGATTAAATTAAATTACAAGATATATAGAGGTATTCTTATTTCACACACATCAAAAATTTGAAATTTTTGTATAAAAAAATATTCATGATTTTCGATTCGTACAAAAACCAGAATATGCCCCATAATATACATAATATAAATTGAAAAAAATATGCATATGTATAAAACAATAAAAAACTAAAAAATAAAAGAAAATCATGAAAAATTAAATTAAAACAAACATAAATAAAAATATTTTAAAAAAGAAAATGAAATTAAAAAAAATTGTTTCCTAAAACAATAAAGTCTAACAATAAAATAAGAAAAACAAAAATACTAGATAAAAAAAAATTTAAAATTAAATAAAATTAAAAAAATATGTCTATGCGGTAACATATGTAGTGTATGCATAAAAAAATATATGTATATACCGATGAATTTATAACTTCCTCCGTTTTTTGAAGTTGATTAAAAATTTAATACAGTTACATTAAAAAAAGACAAACAAAAAATTAAATAAGACTAAACATTAAGGGAAATAAAAAATATATATACATTTTTTTTAACAATCAAATCTTTAAACAAAAATAAAAATAATAATAATAATAAATTAATAACAATTATTTACTAAAAACTGTGGTGAATAGACGGTTGCCAGAATTACCCTGGAATTATATTAAAATTTCACTATTAAATCTTTTTTTTGTAATAATCTCTGTCAAATTTTGAAGCGCCGAAATTAACGAAGAAAATGTCTTCTGATTGCCATATTTATGAGTACTGCAATCACTTAAATCTTAGATTAAAAATTGTAAGCTAACGCGACAACACTTAGCTAAATAAAAAAAAAATAAATAAAAAAATATTTTTAACAGTACATGTTGATAATCTTGATGCCCATTGTTTGTTGGGGGATAGACATGCAATGAAAGCGCCCAAAAAGCATCACACCACTGCACAGTGGTTGCTGCCATAGGCCAAAATTAAAAAAATGCATGTAACAAATTTTTAACACAAATAAGCTCTGCAATCAGTTTTTTGTCCAAACTTCATGTTGTCATATATTTTTTGTTTCCATTCAACAAAATTTTACAAC